CGCAACCCCCCCCCTCGCCCCCCTCCCTCCTCTTGTCTGTCTCCAGTCTGATGTGTGAGAAGCGGATCTTTGAGACCGTCAACGGCTCCCACCACCCCTTCCTGGTCAACCTGTTTGCATGTTTCCAGACACCAGAACATGTGTGTTTTGTCATGGAGTACACGGCAGGAGGAGACCTCATGATGCACATACATGCAGACGTCTTCTCTGAGCCACGTGCTGTGTGAGTTCTGCTGAGAGAGAGAGTGTGTGTGTGTGTGTGTGTGTGTGATACAGAGAACAGACATTTACTGGAAAGCTCCATGCTCTATGTGTCTATGTCCGCAGTTTCCCATTACTGTATGAAGTGTGAATATGTCGTGGTGTGTAATGTTCTGCTCGCCGTGTGTCCGACAGGTTCTACTCAGCTTGTGTGGTCTTGGGTCTGCAGTTTCTTCATGACCACAAGATTGTGTATCGGTGAGTAGTTGGATCGTTTTCCGACACGCACTCACTCTCTTTTCTCAACACTCGATATTTGGCGTAAATCCCATTCTTTTCCTCATCAGGGATCTTAAACTGGACAACCTGCTGCTCGACACCAAGGGTTTTGTGAAGATAGCAGACTTTGGTCTCTGTAAAGAAGGTGAGTATCCATTATTTATTAGGCACTTTGGCATCCTACAGCACCAGATGAGGAGAAGTTCCATATATACAACGTCTCTCATCACTCTCACAGTCAATAACGGTCTGTCTTCACCCTGTCTTGTCTCTGAACCTCTCCCTCGTACCAAGGCATGGGTTTTGGGGACAGGACCAGTACCTTCTGCGGGACCCCTGAGTTTCTGGCCCCAGAGGTGCTGACGGACACGTCGTACACCAGAGCAGTTGACTGGTGGGGGCTCGGGGTACTCATCTACGAGATGTTGGTCGGAGAGGTGAGAATACGGAGTTAGAACACATAAAAATGATTAATTAATTAATTGATTAATTTCAGTTGTGAGTGTGACTTCTGTAAACAGAGACGTTTGGTAACATCTGCAGCCAGACTCATTAAAAGCAGAACTCTTACTATAAAACTATATTTCATACTTGATGGGAGTTTTAATTACAGAAACACTGGCACTAAGAATACAACTGGTGAGAGACTAATAGTCTGTTGACAGTAATTCTACCAGGATAACCCAGATAATATTCAAATCAAGAATAAATGAATTCTCTAATAATAAGAAGTATGTGTTATTTTCTCATTTCAGAGCTTTTGAAAATTGTGCATGATTAAAATAAAGTGCTGAATTGTTCAAAAATAGAAATAGTCCTGAAAAGTGTAGCTTGAGTTTCTTTTTCTTTAGTTATCATCTGAACCGTCTCAACCGTTTTATAATAAACAGTGTCAACACATCTTTACGAGTGAACAGTTTTAACACGTCTTTCTCTTATGGCCGACTCCCCGACTTATGTCTCCAACGTTGTCTATCGTGATTGGCTGAGTAGCATCACCTGACATAAAGTGTCATAAAGTTCAGAGAAGCTGCGTGGGTTAAAATAGAAACGCTCCGTCAAAGTTTAATAATCCTCAATAATTTATAGGTTATACAGTAGGTGCAGGTCCTGCCTACAGTCTGCCTGTTGGTGACCTCTGCTGCACATCTTAGTTCTGAGTGCATGAAATTTTACCCTGTGCCGACTTCACAGTTAGGCTAAAGGGAAAACTGTTAGCGCTCCAAGATAAACAACAAACTGTGTGTTCGGAGAGCTCGAGGTGCTTGAGCCGCTGAGGGGAGGAGGTGGACGGGTCTTGACGGGCAGGTCTGGCTTCAGGGGCTAAGTCCAGGTTGAGCTTCAGGTGGTGCCTGACAGTAACGACCAGGCAGGCAGTGCGGTGTGCCTCCACCTGAGTGTCAGATGGGTGGGGGGGGGGTAAATATTTGAAAGAGTTGTAATATTTGACATATATTATTAAAGTCCCCGTCCACTCAAAAATTTGTTTTGCTTGTTGTTACTTGGATATTTGAGCAGAATGATGGATGTGCAGAATTTGACACTTGGAGGCTGTTTTCACATTCATCTGCAGAAGGAGGAAAATTTCTCTGAGCTCACCTTTAAAATCCGAGGAAAAACATGTCAGACACAAATAATTATCCAGAGCAGAATATTTGTATAAGTCTCTTCTGGAGAGGAGGCAGTTTGGACAGTTGTGATATTGTAATGCAGCGTAAAATAATGTGTGTCTGTTTCTTTCAGTCTCCGTTCCCCGGTGATGATGAGGAGGAGGTTTTCGACAGCATCGTGAACGATGAAGTGCGCTACCCTCGCTTCCTCTCCACCGAGGCCATCGCCATCATGAGACGGGTGAGACTCACTTTCTGCTCCTGGCTGACTTACACTCACTCTTTTATTCTTATATCTCTTTCTTTTGCTAGGCACGTTAGAAATTTAAAGGTATAAATGTCAAGATTATGTTATATATATATATAAACCTGGAGGAGCTGACGGTAACAGTGGTGAAAACATCAACTCCCATGATCATACGCCACTTCATGACGTCGCCCCGTCGTCCTCTTTTGTTATTGTTTTGAATGAGAAACCCCTAAAGGCAGAAGTTACATCCTGTGCATTTAAGCTCTATATATGACAACATCTTTTAAGCCTCTTATCACAAAGAACACTGATGTCAAACATGTTTTCTGGCACTGTTTGTTGTTTCTCGGCTGCTAGTTGTTGAGAAGGAATCCTGAAAGACGTCTGGGCTCTGGAGAGAAGGACGCTGAAGACGTCAAGAAACAACCTTTCTTCAGGGTGAGTCGGTGTTTTAAAGCTTTTCTCCTTATTCCTGTTTTTTGTTTTTTTTAATGTTCATGATGAAGGAACTTGATGTTTATACTAAACTGAATATATGTCATGTAGGGTATGGACTGGGAGGCACTTCTTCAGAGGGAAGTCCCGCCTCCGTTTGTCCCGACCATCGGAGGAAAAGAAGACGTCAGTAATTTCGACATGGAGTTCACAGCCGAGGCTCCGGCCCTCACGCCGCCCCGCGAGCGCCGCACCCTCTCCCGCAAGGAACAGGACTACTTCAAGGATTTTGACTACGTCTCCGACCTCTGCTAGGGTCAGGGGTCATGGGGTTACTAGCTGCCCACTGCCAGCCACAGACTCTGAAAGGAGACTAAGAAGTACAGGCTGACTCTCTGCCCTGCGAAGGCAGAGAGGAACTCGATGGTGACGAGAGGCGAGGATCGCTCTCCCTCTTTCCTCTTTCTCTCTCTTTCTCTCTCTCTCTCTCTCTCTCTCTCTCTCTCTCTCTCTGTGTGTCTGTGTTTGTGACGGGGTGAAGGACTGGCTGGGCCGAGAGTGTGCGAACGGGGATCAGTGGAGTCCGATCGTGTGTCACACAAACGCAGTGCCACGGATCCGCTGACCTCCAGACAATCTGGAGTGGCTTTTAGAGGAGGAGGAAGTTATGATGATGACAGAAGATAATCCAGATTATGAAACAAATGGAAGATGATGGATCCTGCTGTTTGCCCCGCCCGGCAACAAGTGAAGCATAATAAAAAAAAAAAAAAAAAAGAATCAGTGATTGTACTGAAATGCTCCAAGAGCCTCAAAATCCCAGAATGAGAGAGAGAGAAAAGTGATTAATTAGAGAGGAAGCTGTTTGTCTTTTTTCTTCCTGCACTTGTGCTATTCTCTTGTCCCTTTATCTCTGCTGTTTGTTGCTGCTCAGTGTGTGTGTGTGTGTGTGTGTGTGTGTGTGTGTGTGTGTGTGTGTGTGTGTGTGTGTGTGTGTGTGTGTGTGTCGCTGTGTACGGTGTCCCTGCCTCAGTCATGAATGTATCCACAGTTACAATCATGCACCACCTGTACATGAACACAAGGGGGAGCCAGAGGAGAGAGAAACCTCTGCTTATTTTTCAGAGCTGCCTGTTGATTGTGTCAAAGAGAGGCAGAGGAGGTGGGGGATTTGAACGGAGAGGGAGGGGAGTTAGATGCAGTTTGTGTGTCTGTATCTCAGATAGGACGCCTCTTCATTGTCCTCTCTTTCTGTCTTTCAGTACAACACTGATTTTTAACTACAATCAATTCTCAATGGCAAAAAGCTTTTACAAATTCTGTTTCTGTTTTTGTGATTTTAGAGTTTTTTTTCCCCCGTTTGTTTCCTCTTTTGTCGTTTGCTGGTGAAACGTGTTGGAACTGTGACTCAGTAAAGATGTGAACCCAACACAGAGGCATTGATCATTTATTGTCCTTGGTTATATTTCCATTCGGATTTTTTCTCTAATTTTTGTTAACAAATCTTTTTTTTGTAAATATAAAACAACAGGTACAAATGATTCAAATTGTTTGCGTACACGTGCACGTACATCCTGAAGTGCAGCCTCGCTGTAGGCTCTTACACAGACATAATGTCTTTTACCTTGTGGGCACATCTTCAGTTTAGATTTCCTGTTTGACAAAATTGCAAGTAGTAAAAAGTGTTATTTGAGCTCTCTGGTTTTGTGTACCTGTAGCCAGTTAGCAGCTTCTTGAGGCAACGTTGCAAATCAAACCAAAGCGCAAAATATCATAGACTTGCTGAGATAAGTAAATCAGTGATGAGGAAGATGACTGCATCAGAACAGCATCTTATCACAGAGCAGCTGAGAAGAGAAACCCAGGCTCATAATATGTTATTGTACTGATGTTGAGGGTGGGGGATAGATCAGACTACGGCGACAGATGTTAAAAAAATTAAAAACCTTGAAACTTCATGTTCCTTACAAACTACAGGATGAGTCATGATCATTAGTCATACAATGCTCAGTAACATAGAAATTATGTTTTGACTTACGGAAGATTACACAGATGTTTCCAGAGTTTCTTTGAATGCATTAATTGAAGAGAGTTTGAGCTCAGAGCAGCAAACGGCTGTACATATGATTTTGTCTAAGGGTCACACTGACACCAGGCCAGTGAACTCGGTCCAAAGCCGTAGCAGCTGATGTCCACATCATTTTTCCAAACTCACAAATACTCAGATGGACTTTGCAGACACAGGTAAAATTTAATATGAGAGCTTAAAATTTCTAGCTAGCTTTGCAGCAGTGGGTAGCGAGTTAGATGGTGTACAGTGAAGTGCCTCTGAATGAAGACTCATGCAGAGCCAGGCCGGGTCCCAGCTGTTATTATTAATGATTTCCTGAAATGGTTATTGTTAAAAAGATTCTTAGAATTATTGGTGGGAAGAAAACAAGACCCAGAAGAAATGTAGACATACAAAAAGGGGAAACACACACACTCTAAAAAAAGACTTATAAAGCAACAAAGAAAGCTGAACTATAGACCTGTTATATGACTGGTCATTTTTACTTTAACAAATGTGTTTTGTGGAAAAAAACAAACCTGGAAAACAAAGAAAACCTAAACTGTATTTCTTCTAAATGTTCCAAATCACTCATCCACTGCACTGCCTGCTTCACTGAGGAAAAGAAACCCCCTCTGCCAAGGGATGAGGCTGCAGATGGATGGATGCCTGATCTTGAACAAATGAACAAATAATGATGCCAGACATTTAATTCAATCTACACCAGCGTTGTAGCTTCAGCCGCCATAACTGCAACCAATGAAAGAAATGTTGTTGCTAGTGTGGGTCAAACGCCTTGCGGTTGTAAGTCTTTGCCACTAGTTTATACGTCTCTGGATAAACAGGTTTACATCCCTGTTTATCCAGACTCATATAAAATATGACGTTTTGTCATATTTGCTGTGTGAAGTCTTAAGTTATGGCTAAAAAATGTTTTGTGAGGCCACCTTGACCTTTGACCTTTCACCACAAAGTCTAATCAGTTTGTCCTTGAGTCCAAGTGAATGTTTGTACTAAATTTGAAGAAATTCCCTCGAGGTGTTTCAGAGATGTTGCGTTCAAAAGTCCAGAACTGTGTTTTGTGAGGTCACCACACCCGTGACCTTTGACCTTTGACCACCAAAATCTAATCGGTTCATCCTTGAGTCCTAGTGAATGTTTGTGCCAAATTTGAAGAGGTTCTGTCAAGACATTTCTGAGATATCGTGTCCACGAGAATGGGACGGACGGACAACCCAAAAACAGTACGCCCACACCTACATAACCCTGATGACATCACTATGACATCATCAGGGTTGCTTTGTCAGCTTTTAGAAAGCTCATCCAGAATCACAGAAAACAACTTTTTTCACAAACTTTCAGTTTAACTTGCCATTAGACTGGCAGAGTTAAACCAGCTACAGTCAATATTTTATTTATTATTTATAATTCATTTATTTTAAATTTATTTTTACAATATATCAAATGACGTGAAAAACAACGCGTGAAAACTATAAAATATACAGATGCAAGCTGTTATAAGAGGTGCAACACAAGGCGATAAATACTCAGGGGGGTAATTAACTAATGAGACAGAAACACTAAGTCCAGGCAGTTTTTACAAACAAAAAAGTGAACAGCCTGTGAGTCAAATGAAGCTGCAGTGTTCTTTGTTTTTTATTTTTCCTTATTGGTTCAGAATATCTGCTGCATTTTGAGCCGGATGGAAAAATGTCACATATAAAGTAACAATGGAAAATATGATCTAAAGAAATAAAGTGTAAGAGTGTGTGTGTGTGTGTGTGTGTGTGTGTGCGTGTGTGTGTGTGTGTGTGTGTGCGTGTGTGTGTGTGTGTGTGTGTGCGTGTGTGTGTGTGTGTGTGTGTGCGTGTGTGTGTGTGTGTGTGTGTGTCGCCCCCCCCCCCTCCCTGCATCTTCCCAAACATTTCACCCGCCAGTCAAACTCCTGAGGTCCACCCTTCTCCTCCTCCATCCCTCCCACCTTCCCTCCTTCCCTCCCTCCAGCCCTCCTTCCTGTTGCCATCTACGTTTGGAGACGTTTTCGGAGCCTTTTATTCCTCTCCTCGCCATCTCTCTCTCCACTCTGTCACACCATCCCACAGTCCCTCCCATGGCCCCTTTAATTGTCTCTTTTACAACCGCTCTCCCCGTCGCTCCCACTCGGTGCGTAAAATGAATTTCCCCTGAGAAATATTTCCCACAAGTCGCACCTCAGCTGGATGAAGACGCCTGACGCGACACGCAGCTGAGAGTTGAGCATTTTGCCTGGTTCAAGATGTGGAGGGTGTGTGTGACTGCGTGGTTGTGTGTTTAGGAAATGAGGGGGGCGTGTGTTGGGTCGTGAATGCAGCCCTCACAGTGAAGTCTATAAGCAACAGCTGGATCAGCAGTCCAGCCTTGTCCCTCCGCGCCGCAGGTGAGTTCAACTTCTCCTCTCATGTTCGGACCACAAAGGGTTTGCTGAAGGAAAAAAAAAAAAAAGTTTTAGAAATCCTGAAATTAACTGCAGACATGGGAATATAGACTCACACAAGGTAAGTGCTAAACCCTCTAAACGGACAGGCTATTTAATAATAATAACAGCATTAAAAACTTTATATAACAATATTCCAAATTGGAAAATTGCCTTTTGTTTCCTTATTTAAAAAAGGTTGTAAAATGTGTTTTAGAAAGTGTGCTCTGCAGATTAAATTGCATAATTTCCCTTCTGTTTGAATTCAATAGATATTATTTAGTTGTCATTTCATAGTTCATGAGACCATGTTAAATCCACTGCTTGTTGGTGGGTGCTGTTTTTTTCTTTTTCCTTTTGAAAAACAGAAACTAAATTCGACTTCTTATTTCATAATTTGACTTTGTGACCCATTATTACGCAAGACGTTTTATAGCAACTTTAACAACATCAATTTTTTTTGTTTATTTTCTATTTTCCCAGGCTTCCATGTCAACTACAGGCTTGCTTTAAAAATGATGATAAAAGTGGAGCTGCAACTACCTTATTAACTATTTTCACTGTTGTTGCTCTGCTGATTATTGTTTATTTCTTTAATTGATTTATCATTTTGTGTATAAAATATCAGAGAATATTAAGTAAATATCAGACTGACCATCAGTCCAAAACCTACAGATTTTCAATTCACAATAATAGAATAATAGACTGTATGACAAAGAAAAGCGTCAAATATTTATAGTATTTATTTATAATATTTAATATAGTTGCCGGTTAATATTCTGTCAATCAACTTATTGATTAATCAACTCCTTCCTATGCACAAATCATGTGCTGAATAACTCTCACAGACCTACATGCTGTAATGACTCAGTGATATCAGTTTGTGATATAACTGTTGTGTCTGTTTGGCCGGGGGTTCGATGCCAGTCCTGGTCCTTTGCTGCATGTTATCCTCTGTCCGTCTCTCCTGTGTCTTTCCTGTCTCTCTCCACTGTTTCATAATTAAAGCAAAGTGCCAGAAAAATTTGCTTTGACTGGGCCAATTTTGAGAGCACTGATTAGCTAATGTATAAATTGTATGATTGTGTTTCTGTTTAACAGGCTGTTGCATTGGGGCGTTTCACATTAAATCAGTCTGGTGGTTAAAAGGTCATGATGCCTTCACTGTCAGGGATTGGAAGGACTGTTTTCTGTCTGCTTTTGCTCTGGAAGAGAACAGCAGGTGAGAGCACAGGTGACACTCGTCAACATTGCACCCATTTATCTTAAGACCTAGAAAAGGGATGACTTTGTTGTGGAAGAAATATCAAATGAGACATTTCCTCTGCTCAAGCAGACAAAAGTCATTAATTGAAGTGTCAGAACGAAAGTGAAAACTGTTACAGAAATTCCTCTGGGAAATTCTCTGTTGGCCTCTGGCAGGGATTTAAACACAGCATGCACTTATCAGACGGTCTATTGTGTAACCCACTCATCATAGAGGGGAGGAGAGTGAAAGACGGCAGAAAACAGAAGGAAAGTTATGACACTTGGCTCAGCAAACAGCAGTCATGTAGGTTTTGGACTAGTCTGCCTGCATGTTGAAGCACGGCACTGTTCTCACTCATAACTCATGCTATTTGTTGTCTTACACAGAGGAACACCACAGTCATAACTTCTGTACTGATAAATTCAGGTTTCGGTTTTATCACACTTCGCCGTCACACCTCTGCTGTTTCTTTCTCAGCTCAAAGTGAAAAGGTGCAATGCTCCGCCGCCGGTCCAGTGGGCGTCCTACACCCTGTTCAGGGTCTGCTGGAGACGTTTGAGGCAGGTCCAGGCTGTGCTGCTAGACAACACGGGAACAAGGAGACTCATGTGATTGCTGTGGGGAGAGTGACAAACAGCCCTGAAAACAAGGTTATATTGTTAGTTAAATAATTTAAGTGGATTATAACAAGTTATGTAACGCTTCATACTTGTCCTTTAACCACCAATAAGTTGATCAAATTCATTAAAATTAATTAATTAATGAATTGAAAAATTAACTAAAATGTATTTTACTCTTCTGTTTAACTTTAGCAAGCTCATTTTATTTTGCAACTCCTTTGTTTTCTTATTCATTTATTTCTTATTTCTCCCAAATAATTTAGCTGGTAGGCTAATGCTAACAAAGTTAGTTAGCTTAGAAACCACCGTGCTTCTGTCTTCATGACATTAACTTCATCTTTAGTTGCATGTCTCTTGTTTTTATCAAGACCACAATGGAAATATAACTCAGATTTTATTAAATGTCTTAATTCTTTCTCGTGAAAATAAAATAAACTAACATATTCTTAGTGAAGTTAGCTAGCTAACTTTGCTAGCGTTTGCTTGCTAGCCAAAAGGCTTTAGCTATTTTTACAACAGTTTATACAGTAAAACACTAACTGGTGTCAGTAAATTACTGCAGTAATGTGACGTGAGGGTTCGATATGTTGTGGTTTGGGTCACTTTTGATAAAAGAAACAGCTGGATGGAGACAGGTTAACTTTTCAAGCAGCAGTTTTACTTCTCCTAACTTCACCCGCTTCACAACAACAACACTTCCTGTTTCTGAGTCACATGTCGCTAACCTAGCCAATCAGAGATGAGGAGGACTTAGACCGTGGTAAATCAGAGGAAATCTAGAGAGTGGATTCAGGAGGTTACCGTAACTGTTTTTAAAGTTGCACATGTAAATATTTAAACGTGTAAATATGTAAATTATAATTGTATACACATAAATATGAAATAAGTTAACTGTAAACATAAATATGTAAAAAATTAACCGTACAAAACACCTTAAACATATATTTTTTTAGTAAATTAACTCAAATATACAAATGAATTAACATCTAAACCTTACAGTAGTAATACTACTGTAGTTGGAGTATTATTGTAGTCGTATGATTAAAGTCAGCTTCAGCTAAGAAGCTAACATTAGCTCATAAGAATCGTACAACTGATACTCAATGTATGTAGCTACCAGTGTTTTCGGTAAAGTTATCAAGCTTCACTATTCTCTCAACTGATCCACTCATGTTAAACACAAACACACTGGATGAATTAATAAGGAAGATGGAAATGTGTTGAGGAATATAGGAAATATAGTGAGGAAAATGGAAACTTTGTCACAGGAGAAATAAGGAATAGATAAATGGTTAAATGGTATGTAAAGACCCCAAAAACAGGACAATGTATTAGACTTGTCTGATAAACTTTTACTACATTTAGTCAATTTCAGGGCTCCATAAAAGAGCACTAAAATACATTTGTTACAGCCTCACATACTGAACATAGATGGCTGGTTTTACAGTCGCACCCCTCTGCTCTTCTGTCTATAGGTGACGGTGTTGCTGAAGCCGTTGTCTCTGTCCCTGTCACCGCTCAGAGTTCTCCACCTGCTGCTCAGCTCCAAGCTCCCAGTCAGCTGGTGGCTGGAGGCTGAGAGGCTGCCCCCCAACCTCCCAGTGCTGGTGCAGGTCAGTCAGAGCGCACAGACGAGCGCATCGATGATCCTCATCTTCGCTATCAGTTCATTTTTTTAAAATCCCCTCCAGTTCTTTCCCCTGAAGTTTTCCCTTTTTGGCGTCATCTGCCAGGTGTCCTCAAACTCCAGCGTACAATCCCACACACTGCGTCTGCATGTCCACACGGTGCCTTTGTTACCTTTTCGCCCACGAGCGCTGCACCGCTGGGCTCTGAAGCACTACGGCAACCTGTCCTCTCTAACACACACAACACACGGCAACCGGGTCTACGTCCGACTGGGAGAAGGTGAGCCACCGAGGAACTAAACATCATCGTGATGTGAAATTGTGTTCCAATGTCAATGGAAAAAAAATTACAAAAATTGACAAATGTATATAATTTTATTTAATTATCATTTTATTTTATTTTATTATTATTTATTTTACTCTATTCTGAACATTGAAGAGTCTTTAGAAGCAGGCAGAAGCAGGCTTACTGTATATTAATAGAACAATAACTGAAAATGAAATTGAAAATAGAAACATTATCTTTACCTGTTGCTGCAAATGCTTAACTGAAACATCTGTGCACTGAACTGGGACAATGTGGGTGAAAATTCAGCTCATATTATCTTATCAGTCATCTCGCCTCTCTGTTCTCAGCAAGTAAAAACTCTAGGTTTACACTGATAGTGGAGAAAGAGCTTATGAAACTAACAGCTCTTACTTTGTGTCCATATTGCAGATCCAACGCAGCCTGTGGTGTGCCAGCTACAGTCCATGTTCCTCTCTCACAACTACTTGACCTCTGACCTGCAGCCACAGGAAGTGCAAGGCTGTGTCCACACTGCAGCAGGTGGGATCGGCCCTGAAGTCCATGTGATCAAGCTGCATTCTGCGGGATCAGGGCTGTGTGGGTGAGAACATGCAGCCTCCTGCCAAAAGCATGTGTGGCTGTTGTCGTCCTGCAAAGTTAAAACCTTGTTTTTTTTCCTCCTTCAGCTCTCTGCAGGTGGAGGTGATTGTCTCTCTTGTGCCCCCGGTGGCCGACTCAAAGGCGCAGAAGGTTGTACTGGTTCTCAGCAGCTCGGTGCCGGTCAACTGGGCCATTGTTGCTCATGGTGTCCAGGGTCATATCTCTGTTCATGTAAGGGCCACGTCCTTTAAGATCTTTTCCAGATACCAGTTTAGGAATTATCTGAAGTAACTGAATGTGTCATCTGATTAATATAATATTATATAATTATATTTTTCTTTATGTCAGTACTGAACTGTTTCTACTAACAAGTTTTGCCCATGTGGCCGAAGCCTGACATATCTTATGACATTACGAGCCACACTGGGTAACATGTTCCTTCATTACAGTGAACGTCGGCACTCAGTCACAAAGACACCATCTTCCTGCTGTGAATACTCATTAGAGCACCAGATTTTTTTTATTAATCCGCGTCTGAAAATAGTTTCCAACAAATACACCACACACTCCTGTTTCAGCAACTTGTGTAAAACCTACAGTGTCAATGTTTTACCAAATTACAGTAGGAATAAATGTGTCGGGTCGGTCGGAAAGTTTTGTAACACAGATGAACACATTGTTGGGTTTGGTCTTTTCAAACCTGAGTGTATGTGACGACATACTGTTCACAATGCACAAATCTGAGGTTGTATCCAGGGCCTAGAATTTATTTGGGATCCCCAAACAGGTTCATGCATATTAATGTTTTTCACATGTACTTTGATTATTTAATTCTTATTATGTGTATGTGTCTGTCCTCTAATGTCTCTCCACAGTCCTCCAACAGCGTGTCCCCACCCTTCCCTCCTGAGCCTGACCTGACCCTGTCCAGTATGCTGAACTCTGACCTGTCCACCATGTCTGACCTTCTCGCCTGGGCAAGTGAAAGCGGCTACACCAAGGTGACCTCATACACTGAGGCTGACCTGGCCAATCGCTTTGTGATCCAGCTGGCTGGGGGCGGGACAGGTCAGGACCCCTGTGTGTCTCTTGTTTCCATCACAGTGTGAGTGAACTGATCATTTCTGTTTTATTTTTTAACCCACTTTATTTACTTTTTGCTTTGTCGTCTGTGTCCCTTTTTAAAATGGAGAATGAGAAATGAAAGCAGAATATTTCCATCAGCACGTAGAGCATATGTTGAATGAAGGGTTTTAAAGTGTAAGTGTGAGTATTTAATGTCTGTGCGTGGCCGTCTCTGTGTCTCCTCTCTGTCTGTACCACAGACGTGCTCGCGGCGATGAACCCTCTGGTTGTGAGGCCTCCCTGGGCCGAGGAGCACAGGCTGAGGCAGTGGCTGAACGCTGGAGGCAGAGCGGGAGAAGGCCGAGAGAGTTTCACAGTGCAGTGTGAGGATGGACGCCTCAGCGTGACCGTGGACCAACACATCCTGCAGGTCTTCATACCTCAGTATTAGATGCTGTGATATGTAAACAGTTCAAAAAGAAAGAAGCTAGCTACCTATATACATATCCAGCGGCTTGATCAAAACGTTTACAGCTGCATAAAAGGGGGGAGGGGGTATTTTATGCTTTTATTTGACAGTGTAGAGAACCAGGAAGTGGAGGGACAGAGAGACGGGGAATGACATGCAGCAAAGAGCCGAACTGAACTAACGTATTCCTACGCACAAGCGCACTGTATTACGCCGCAGCCGCAGGTCAGCTGAGTGAAGCGGCGTAACACAGTGCGCATCCCTTTAAGCCATAACCAACTTATTATGGCATTACGTCAGTTTGTTTTGGCTGTTTGTTGCAGAAAACTAATTGCCGATGATGATTTGACATTGGGTGTATCTGTTGCCCTGTATGTGCTGAAGCAGCACTATTTTAATATGTATCTTGCTGTACCTTGACGATGTTTACCACTACTGCATCGACCAAGTACCTGTTGGTTAACTGCATCGCTCCAGTGATACAGAGAAACGGTTCAGTTTGGAGGTTACGTGGTCTCACATTAGTTCTCTGCTTCAGAGCTTGTCTGTCCCAGTGGCTGTCGTGACTCTGCAGGACCCGACGTGCCAGGCTCAGTCCAATGGGAGCCATTTCCTGTTGATGTTCCCAGTCATTTCCTGTGGGACTGAGGGTCTGCTCCTGGGACAGCCCAGAGGGGTGCAGTACAAAAACATGGTGAGATAAGAAATTTGGGCAGAAAACGAGTAGGGATAAAAAAAATAAAAAAAACTGTCCTTAATTTTTCTGTCTCTCAAATCCTACATATTTCTTTATTTATTGTCTTTATCTTACTACTCATGATTTTTTGAATTGACTTCCTTTTTTATCATTTAAATGACATAAAATTTTGTTATTATGTCTATAATTAAAACTCACCAAAAGAAACAGAGGTAGAGAAAATTACAGAGGTGGCGTGAGACGGAGAAAACAGCAGAGTGAGTGAAGCGTTCAGAGCAGAGGGCAAAATATATGAATTTCAAAATAAGGTCAAAGTCAGTTCTGATGGTGTTGAAAACAAAAACACTTAACATGCATATTGGATGTGTGAAAGTGTGGTAAGTGGAAGTTGCCCCCGGTAAGACTCGTGACCCAGGTCATCATGACCAGAACAGAGCTCAGTCAAAATCTAAAAATGGGATGCTGCACACGGGCAAATTACTGTTTTTCCTAAATCTCACTGTCACAGGCAGAAAATTGGGATGAAGGATGACACAGTGAATGATTTCAGAGGTGAAAAATGGAAAAACAACAGACGCGGCAGGTGTCTGTGATGATTTACACTGTTGCTCATTAAGTTGGAATAAAATATTTTTCACCTCTTTCCATGAAATGATTGTGACAATGTGATTTATTTCATTTCACCTGGGTAATTGGGACACATAATGTAATCATTGCACCTGGTCAAAAGTGATTACTGATGCATTTAAATAGGAATAAACTGAGGATTGTGTCTGAAAACAAAATTATTCCAACTTTATGGGCAACAGTGTATAATGTGTTGAAATATATGGGACTTTTCTCGATGTTGTTGAGTGCAACAACCTTGTTTTTATTCCTGATAATAATCATTTCAGTGATAATATCAATAATAATAACTTTATTTGTATGGCACTATTCAAAATAAAAGTTATAAATTGCTTTACAAAGCACAAAAAATACATATAGAAACAGACAATCATGAGATATAAGTAAAAGAAAGATAATGCAGATTAATATACACATGAGACGAAGAAATAAAATATAAAATCAAACTAACCGATACTGAGCTTTCTTTGTTTTCTCCATCATCCAGCGTTTGTTCCTGCTGCTTCTGCTTCCTTCAGCATCTTAATGGTCAAAAAAACATTTGTAACTGGCTTTGATTTTTTTTTTTTGTTTTTACACTTTACAATAAGGCTCCTTTTAACCAGTTATAAATGATAGCAAGATTAAGGAGTAGTAAGCATTAACTTGATTTATGATTTATAAAGTGTTAACAACCGAATTAATAACCCAATTATAAACCATTTATAAATCCTTTATAAGTGTCGTCTTATTGTAAAGCGGTATTGTTATTTGTTAGTGATTTCCATGTACACAGAAAACAGTCATGGACCTAAAATTGAGCCTTGTGGCGCACCACAGGTGAGATGGAAGAATTACCAAGAACAATCAAGAACGTTTCATGTTATTTTTAACCTGCTCTTTCCTGTTGCCCATTTATGAGTAAACCTGGTGCTGATGTAGAAAACTGGGCTTACACATTTGCAATGAATGATCCAATACAGTGTGTTCGTCTGTTTCAGATCTTATTGTGGAGGGACAAGCCTCAGACCGTCCTGGCGCTCGATGAGACGGAGAGGAAGTCCAAACGTCCACTCGGCATACATGTGAGACATCTGTGTGTTTGTTTGTTTGAGTGTGTGTCCGTCTCGTAAATGCAATTATTCATTTAAAACTATTCACCATCTCATATTCTGACTCTGCTCTCAGTTTAGCTGCTTGGCTGCAGTCCCCAGCTCCTCCGGCCCTGCTGCAGATAATGTCGATGAGACGAACAGTCCTCAGGCTGGGCTCTCCCCCTGGACACCAGGGGATCCAGGGCCTGATCCAGGACGGAGCCACCTCCCGACACCCAGACACAGATCTGGGCCCGTTCTTATTTTAAGACTTTTCGTCACCGAGAATTACGAGCAGAGGCTGATCGGCCCCTGTGTCATCACTGCAGGCCACCGCGTCTATGTCGAGGTCTGTGTCAGCTGATTGTTGATCTTTATTTTTTTCTACATTATTCTGACCTGAGTGGAGCATATTAGTATATTGGAGTATATTGCCACAGTTTGTCTTCTTCATCAGTGTTTCGTTGTCTGTCGTACTGCAGGTTTCAGCCAAAGGACCCCTCACAGATGTGGTGGAGGTGAAGTCATGTGTCGTCTCTCCTCTGTCAGACCCAAAGAAATCTCCTTTCTGGACCGTCATAAGCGACGGCTGCTCCTCAGACCCCTCGCTGACCCTCAGCGCAAAGACAAAAGATGAAGACGAGGAAGAGGAGGAAGATGACGGCGACCTGGACGAGGAAGAAGAAGAGGAGGAGGAAGAGGAAGAGAAAGAAGGAATGGAGAACGAAAGAATCAATCACAGAGATGGAGATGTCTCGCTCCGACATAAAATCGGAAGGAGGAGGAAGGAAAAGAACCGCACAAGCATGGGAGCAGAGCAGGAGATGCAGCTGTTGAGATTCAGTTTTATCCTGCGACCGGTTCATAATGACTCCATGCAGTTCCTCCACTGCAGCCTTCGTATGTGTGTCTCTGACTCGACCAGAGGGGAACCCATGAAGGAATCAGCGAGGAATGAGTGTCAGGGCGGACTGCGTATTCCACCGCTTGTATCTAAGTCCCCCAAACATCAGGTACAGACACAAATGACACCCAGTTACCCTTTAACCCTCTGAGGTCGATCGATGTTTCTATCAATATCTTTGTGATAAAACAGCGTAGAAATATGGTTTGAATGTTGTTAGAATCTGTAGACTCTCCACTTTCTCTTACATATTGTACTGAGCTCGTACGTGACTCATAACCTGTAAAAAGCAGTTGGTTGGTAAAAGCAGAGTGACAGACAACACCACGACTCTGTGATGTTACAAATTTTCATTTTAGGCTTTCATTATCCATTCATCTACTATTTTACTCATATATTACAATATTTTAATGAACCTATAGACTTTGGTGAACCCATTTCAAGCACCGAAACAATCCATCCACAACAGTAAAGATTTGTTTTCACAAAATATTTCAAGAATTTCAAAAACTAGGCTTCAGTTTTTCAGCATTTGGGCCAAATGATCTCTCTGCACAGGGAGGGGCCTCATTATAGAAAGAGATGAAAATTGTGATATAAAACACTTGGGTATTACGTTATATGCAGGTACCCTTTAAAAGGTGAATTTAAGAATGTAGAAATCCCTCCGAGGGTTTTAAACCTCGAGTTGTGCGTGATGTAACACCCTCATGTTCGTCTGTTGTTGTTATAGTCCTGCAAGGTGATATCAGCATTCATTAACATCTAGCCCTTCTCCTGTATTCGCATCTCAGTGTGAGATCAGAAACCTGTCCAGGCCCATGGTTGTCACCCAGTCGATCAGCTCTCTGGCACCCAAACTGCCGAGGCCTCCTGCTGGACAAAGAACCAAGAGGCTGAGTGTCTCTCCACTGGCCAGTCCGGACCCAAAGCACAGCAGTGAGTATCATTTGTTTGCTCCTTTTTCTATGTAACAATGCTATGTAACAAGCCGTCGCTCTCCCTGTGTCTAGGCTCTGTGGTGCAGGCAGGATCAGTGTTGGGAATTGTCTTTACAGCCTTTATGATGGGTGCCAGCCTGATGGGAGGGCTGTGGTGCATCTACAACTATACAGGTAAAGAGATTAGCTTCCTTCTACCACTGAAGAGTTATGGTGTGGATTGCATCATCTTACTACATCCTGAAATATCTGTTTGGCTGCTGTTGATCACCGATTGATGTAACACAATAGTGATTAAACACGTGATTCACAAAAGCTTCTGCATTTGAAAATTTTAGAGGGATCATTTGGGTTTCGGTTGAATTTCGCGATTATTTGGCTTCTTATCCAGATTCATACAAACACACGATGCATTTTTAGCCCTGCAGCCTCTCGGTATGACAGTGTTAAATATAAGAAGATATAACAAGGTAAGATAAGATAAGATAAAATAAGAAAAGATAAGAGGAAATTCAAATTGACACAGCAGCACAAGGGGACAAATGTAAAAAAGAAATAACAAAAGAACAGAAAAAGAATCCAGGATAAATAAGATAAATTAGAAATACTATATATAATAACATATACAAATGCAAAGTAGGCATTTCTATACATGCACAAATATAAGAATAAATAAATAATAATTTTGTTTATGAACAAATACAAGAAAAACCTAGCGACATTCCTACTGTGTGTGTTGCTAAGCAGCAAATGTTAGGGTGCTAACATGCTAAACTTAGGCTGTGAAACATTAAACCTGTTAGCATGCCGACTTTAGCATTTACCTGAAAGCAGGTCTGTGTGTGAGTACAGCCGCCTCACAGAGCTGCCAGCAGGGCCGTATTTAAGTGACAGGAACGGCACATTTTCAGCTGGTAAACACAGAAATGAATTTTTGTTTCACTCTAGTAGTATTACAGTACAAACGAATCCCTATAAATAGCGAGTGAGGTAGATCCGTTTGTCCAGATAGTAAAAAGGCGAAAATACATAACAGTCAAGCTTTCACTGTTTGACTGAAAGTTTTACCCTCTGACATTTTGGGTTCAAACATCGCAGCAACCTCCAATCAGTAGACAGTATCAGCGTGCACGTGAACGTGTGTCAGCTGCACGGTTGTTGCTACCTAAACAGAACAAACAGATAAATAATCTTCTTGTTTAATCTGGAGAAAAGAACAAACATGTTTTCAGCTGAAAGATAACATCAGTGTGAACCTCCAGTCAGTATAGAAGAAAAGAAACCGATGTTTCGATAATGAGGGAAATACGGATCTTTCAGTCACCGCATTAAATTGTTCACTATTTTGTACAGTATGGGGTTCTGTGGAGACATTATAAAGGAACTATTACTTTGTGTATTTATTGAAGCGGCGTATCCAGCATTAATTGGAAGAGAAAGTCATTTAACTGACCAGAGCCATGGAGGCCACAACACCTGGAATCCACTGTCACAGTCTGATCAGTCGTCCAGCTCGGTGTAGAGGTAAGACCCGATGACGACAAAGTTTATTGTGTTATATGTCCTTTCAGCCTTTATTTACACATTTCCATTTATGCTACAATTATTTTCATATGCTGATTAATATAAAGTTCATCATCTTCAATAAGAAAGGGCTTCACGGGCTAAACTCGTCTGCACTTCAGGATTTCCTAAAGTGCTGAAGCTTAGGAGAGTGTTATGATTCAGTTGTGGTGTTTTGAAACTACTCTTGAATTTGTCCACCTGTGTTTATAAAGTACTCAACACTTCCAGTAGAAATGATGTCTGTTCAATTCAGTAAAAAACAAAAAAAAACAAACAAAAAAAAAAACTTAATTATACAAGTTCTTGGTTGATAGTTATTTTGAGGTGCTACAGAAATAAAATTAAAGCATTCGGCCAATGGAGAAAAACAAAATGCAAACAGTTTGTCGGAGCATACTGTCAAGTCACTGTCACTTGTGTCATTACCAGTCAACCAAAGGTCTGCTACTACTCCCTTTGTTCAAATGAAACACATTGCCGTACCCCAGCTGGGCGGCACAGAGCGAACCTAATGTCAAAGCTGTATGTTAAAATAAACTTTGGTGGTTAGAAGCATCGACAGTTTCAGAAAATATATCAGCATTGGAGCAAGCACCTGCAGATTTCAACTCTGATCGGTCTGAACAGTTTTATTCTTTTATCTCTGTCTCAGGATTTCCTCCGGCAAATCTGAGAAAGGAGAACTGGGACAGAGGTTCTAACAACTTGTGTGTGAGCGAGCACAGCTGCCTCTCTCTCTCTCTCTCTCTCTCTCTCTCTCTCTCTCTCTCTCTCTCTCTCTGTGTGTATGTGTGTGTGTGTGTGTGTGTGTGTGTGTGTGCAGAGCCGTGTTTGTGCAGTCCTCCTCGCGAGTATCGTTCATCGCTGTGCAGCAGAAATGCAAGAGGACTGAAACCATGTGAATACAGTAGCACCTACTCACCGCCGCTTCGTGACAAGTCAGATGTGTGACTCAAAGTGAAACGTTGTTTTTTGATGCCGGACGCCACTCTACACCAAGTCATTTCAAAACTGGCAGCGAATCATCATATGGAGAGACGTTTATCTGGATTCAACAGGAGCTAAACTTGGTTGGAATGAATCAGACAGAAACAACATCGTCATCGACAGAACACAAGGTCAAACAGGATTCATCAGGTTACCGTGCATCTGCCTGTCTGAAGAGTCTGTGTTTTACAGAGTCATTTTCACTATTTGTCCTGTAACTGTGAATCAGCTGGATTTCAAAACTACATCTATGTGTATGTGAATTCTCTTGTGTTCATGTGGCAAAGAAGATGTTTTACACTGAGCTATAAATCCATGTGGTCTGTCGCTCTCAAATCACATCATCATCAATGTGACGCAAATAAAACAAAGGAAGTTAGTGTGTTATGAATAAGTCAAACATCTACAGTGTGTAAAATATATTCATCTCTTTGTTTAAAGCTGTAATAAGTTATTTTTTGGCCTCTGAAGTGTAGCACAGTAAACCTGCTTACATATCTGTGTATGTATGTTTGAAACAAACCCTAATGAGAGCAGAAAGAGTAAATCAAAACATTAAAGTTGTGTCCATTAAAATAACTACAACAGCAGTTCCCAACCTTTTCCGACTCATGGCCCATTTGAAAATCTCAAACATGTTGCCGACCCAAACCTGGCCAAATAATGAGTTCTCAGAGTATTTGTTGTTTTAATGATAATGAGAAACATAAGCTCAATTATTCTTTCTTGTTTGTTTGCTTGTCAATTCACCATCTGTCTCTTTACTCTCTTTCTATTTCATTTCTTTCACTCTTCCTGTTGCTGACCAGCTATCCATTTTGATGTTCCATCTTTTAGCGCGCAGTCAGACTGAGATAGCAAACAAGTCTACGATGCGGTCTTTAAATAAACATTTCCTTTTAAAACATTTAAAAATACTATTGTACTGTTTTGCGAATGATTAGTCGGCCCACTTGCAATACCTTTGCGGCCCACCATTGTGCCCTGGGCCAAAGGTTGGGAACCACTGGACGAGGTGAAAGATTCTCAAATTGAGCCGAGTGGAAACCCCCTCAGATTTCACATAGTCAATCAATCCATTGCTCATATGGTATTATTGATTAGTGCAGCTTTAAATCTCAGTATTTTTATGTTGCGTTAGAAATGGTACTCATGTTTTCATGTGTAGCCTGTGTTTTGAAACTTTTATTTTTAGAAGATAATTTCAAAATAAGCTTCCTGTTATGTGCAGCAGAACAAGAACATCCTGTGAATGGATCATCGTCAGTTATCGCTGTTGGTAACCTGGCTGCAGTGTATTAAGGATGCCTGCTTCAGTAATGGTAGAATCACTCAGACACACACACAACAATCACTCACACAACTTTTTTTTTTTTTAGGAAAATAGGAAATTACACTGGATGATATTACGCTGCTGCCCAGCACATACTGGGAAAATAATCCAATTATCATCTGTGATGAGTTTTAGTGATGAGTTTACTGAGGGATGTGTCATCATGTTTCAAATTGAAAAAAGCACAAACCTAAAGGATGAAATGTGTTTTTTAAGCAAACCGGTCCCGTTTTATTTAACATTTTTAAGCATGAATGTCATTACTTTATGCATATTTTCAGACTTTTACAATTTATTATTATGATTGCAACTTATTTACAAATCCCATTTCACTCTGTTCAGCTGCGTCATGGCCTCAGTTCTGAGTGTACATGTTTCCATAGCCACACTGTGTCTCTTGGTGGTGCTGTAGGTCAACCCTGCGCTGGAAGGTGCGCTGACAGCGGGGGCAACTGAACGGCTGATAGCTGCTGTGCTTTCGGCTGTGGGTGATGAGGTTGGAGCTTTGGCTGAATCCTTTACCGCACACTTTGCACACGTGTGGTTTCTCACCTGAGGGAGGACCGGAGCGTAGAAGTGTTTAATGTTTGAGAGCAGGAGTTTGAACTTTACACAGTTTAGTTTATTCACGTTTGTGTTGACTCACCTGTGTGTATGAAAGTGTGTTTCTTCATGTCTGACTTCTGGTGGAACCTTTTGCCGCAGTACTGGCAGGGGTAGGGTCTCGTGTCCGAGTGGATGAGGAGGTGTGTGGACAGGGTGGACGAGCGCTTGAACACCTTTCCGCACACCTTGCAGCCAAAGCTACGCTCCTGGATATACACAAACAAACAAACAAAAAACACATGCACACACTCGTGGACATGAGGACAGCGTTTCTTCCAGAGCTCATGATGTGTTTGCACTGAAAATGATCAAACTTTCGCACATGTAAATATTCTCACTGTCCACTGTACCTTCGCTCTACTGTAGCTGCCAACTGCTCTGAAGCTGAAGGGCATGTGGGGCATGTTTGTGGCTATGGGGGATCTTGTCAGTGGGACAGGGACCGTGTTGAAGACATGAGCCTGCAGGCCACCTGATAGTAGGACTTCTGAGAGAGACTGGGGGAGACAGAAAGAACATGTTGTGTTAAACAATTCAACATTTTGCAAAATACACTGGTGCAGAGTTAAACGAGAAGATTGACACCATTGCAAATACACAGCCAACAGTTAGTTAGCTTAGCTTAGCAGCAAGACTGAAAATGGGGAAACAGCTAGCTTGGCTTTGTCAGACGGTAATTAGCACCTCTGAAGCTCAGAAATAAACATGTTAAATGTTATTTGCACAAAAACAGAAAACTGCAATTAGCCGTTTTGTGATGGGTCATGTGCTGAACAATTTCATGGCTGCTACTAGGAAGGGATGCTGGAAGCTAAGCTAACCAGCAGCTAGCTCTAACTTCATATTCACCATATGGACATGAGAGTGATTTCCATTTTCTCATCTAACTAGTGCATTTCCCAAAATGTCAGAAGAGCAAAATTAACAGAAGAGCTGGACTAATATTGATCGGCCTTGCTGATATATTGAACCAATATTAGCTTATTGCAGATATATCTGTATATTGGTATCAATGTAAATGGCAACCGATAAATTACAAGAAATTACAAAGACATGTTTGAGGCAATTTTGAAAGTGATATAATCACACATTTACTTACTTAACTTATTTTTATATTTAGTTGATTTAGTTTAAATAAAGCTAAAGCACATATTCTATAAGGCACAATTCTTTAACACACGCGTTTAAGGAATCCTCGTCAAAAAACTTTTTATCGAGAAGGCTTTGAAAAGAAATATTGATATCATTATCAGCTTCAAAAAGATCCTGTGTGAATCGGGTTCTTTTAAGAGACTGGGGACAGTTATTTTATAATTTAATTAAACCTGAAATACAGGTTTTTGAGTGGAAACAAAGACTCAATGGAACAAGATTTCACTGAATTACATCATTTACAAATTACAAATTTATATAATGTAAATAACTAATTGTAAATAACTACTTACAATTTTTCCTCTCTACGAAGAAAGAGATTTTAAGATATATTTAAGATTTCACTCATATTTTGTGGTGGTTTTTTTTTTTGAAACAACAAACTTAGAATTGGTTGAATTTTTATTTTACACACCAAGACACTTTGTTGTGTCACTGACATGTAAATGTTACAGTTACTGACACTGGTTTCCTTTTTTTCATTGCAGCAGCTGATAAAGATCAAAAAGACCTGACAACTCTCACAACACAGAGGCGACCGTACCTTTTCACAGAGTGGACATTGGCTGACGGGGGATTTTAGGTCAGTGTGCGACGTGTGATTGAGTAGCATGAAAACCAGTCTCTCCAGTTCCCTCTCTCTGTCAGATGCCTGGTGTCTGTCTGACGACCACGGCGAGACAGCCAGAGGAGCGTCTCTGTTCTCCACAGGGACTTTTGCTAGAATATGAAAAGATGATGATGATGATGACGACAAAGTGTCTTTAGTTTATAGAGGAGGGCGAAGAATGGGAATGATTTTTAGCTTTATTTAAGCATCTTTCCTTCGGCTTTTGTGACCTTTAGTGTACAAGAATGAATCCTGAACGTTGAGTTGCACAAAACTATATTTCTCACATAACTCAAAGCTTCCTTTTGTCATCTTCATCACCCCTTTATGACTTTGTAAATTTCAATCACAGAGATCAACAACACTTTCAGATGCCATCCAAAGAACATGGCTGTATACTTACTCTATTTCTTACAATTTCACTGTGTTTAAATGTAGAGAAAGTGTTTGGTACCTGGAGTCCACGGATCATCTTTGCGGGGGCTGTTAAACTGGACCCCATTCCATTGTGAGCAAGCTTCAGCCAGAAGGGTTTTTACCCCAAATGTGGGGGACGAGGGCTGCACAGCATCTTCAGGATGCCTCCTGTCCTGTCGCATCACATGCTGCACAGGCTGCTCAGCATCCATTCGGGACCTGGAGTGTGATCTGTAGGAATTCTTCGACGGGCCGAGGAGGTGAGACCTTTTACTCTTGACGAGGAACGACCGCGGCATAGCAGAGCGGTGACTGGAGAGGGAGTGATGGGAGACGAAGTAAGAAAACAGAAACCTGCAGCAGCTCTTTTCATGTCACTTTTAGAGCCTCACACACTCAGATGTCACACACCTGCTGGTACATGTTCAGTTACAATGCCAAAGCTTGAGGTTTCCTTAACAAATACAACCTGCCACCTGCACTTCAGTTTCAGGGCTTTCACTGAGGATAACCCTGCTGTGGTGTAAACAGCTTTTTATACTTCCATTTGAACTGCATACAGTATGTTCTTATCATAAAATTAGAATCACAGCATAATAATTTAAATTTGAAAATTTCGACTTTTCCAAAATAAGCAAATCAATAATGTCAATTTTGACAAAGTGCTGAATTTATTCATTTATCATTTGGCAAATAATTGTATAAGAATTCTTTGGTATTAGTTGATTATATTAGGTCACAAGTTAAACAAGAAAGAGGAAAGCCCGACAGAAAAACTATATGAGACAAGTTTAGAGAACTACGCTGCTGCAGATGAATAAGCAAATTTTCCCAAACTTGTTTTACACCTTCATGGAGAATTTTTATCAACCTCTATAATGAAAATTATTCATTTATTAACCTCCTTCTCTGAAATAATATCCCTCACAACCTGAAGTTGCACAGAAGAAGTTGTAGCACACCACAAGGCTGAAATTGCCTTGTTGTATGTACAAAAGAAAGTTGAAAGTTGAAAGTTGAAAGTATGAATTAAACATAACCATGATAGCAAAACAGTGAAATCCCAGTTGCATTGCTGATCTTACCTTTGTATTGCGCAGCTGAATGTTGAGAATACTTGTTTCTTGTGTCCTCACCGTTGACAGTGTCCTCTTTTCTCTTTCTCACACCCATCCACTGATGACATAGCACAAAGAGATTTGATTTGATTTTGAAACGCAGCTGAGGATTGTGGGACTGGAGGCATAAGAGGGAGGGGGGGTGGGGGTGGGGGGCTCAAAAACTTTATCAAAATTACAAAAAAATTAAAGACTATCATTTGAAAATCAATAAAAATACCCTCCAGTTTTTGGGTTGTTGTTGCTACCCTCATCTTGAAAAGCAAAGTCTATAATAAAAAACATGATGTCTCAACGAATGTCTCTGCAGCAGCACTGCACACTCGAAAGTGTAGGACTCGTAAAGATATCACAATACTAATGTCAAGACTAAACAATGTTTACTACGAGACCAACATTCTTGTGTCACCGCTGGATTCACCACTATAGTGACTCTTCATGTGGGTGTACTCATAAATACACTGAGCATCCTTTGGAAAGTTTGAATATCTCATCGTTCTCATGTGAACATGTGGACCTTTACTACCACTTACACTTTACAACATGCCTACCTGTACGCTTGTGTGTGTGTGTGTGTGTGTGTGTGTGTGTGTGTGTGTGTGTGTGTGTGTGTGTGTGTGTGTGTAACAGTGTGTGTTCTTATGTGGTATCCAGCCATCCCACACAGTTCCATCTGTGAGTGAAGGGAGGGATTTTTATTTTTTATTTTTTCACCACCTTCATTTCAAACACTGAATTACATCCTGTCTAACTTTTGTTTTTTATTTCTCAGGAAGACGCTGAGAATAATTGCATCAAAGATTATTTTGTTTGATCTAAAATCTTGGCAGGAAGGCAGATGTGAATATAGATTTCAGGGTAATGCTTTATGATAAAAATCAGTTAGTAGTAATTTATAAACTCTTAATTAATGTTAAACCAAATATTCAGTCATTAATGTTATTTTAAAAGTTATATAATTTGCAATTTATTAGAAGTAATAAACCATTTGCGAATGATGAATCCATAATTAATTATTAAGCGCTGGAAAGATTTAAAAACCTGTAATTGCAATTATTCGTTAACTTTCCAATGATAATATTTGTAAATATTTAAAGGAAACATGAAAAAAGTTATGATCATTTATGAAGAGCGTGTAAACTTTTAACACGTGAAAAAAGAAAAAAGTGATGAATGATAAAAATAAAACATGAAGACATAGTGAGTCATCGTGCTGTGAGTGACTTGTCAATAAAACGTGCAAAGTTCCTCCTTCTTCCCAACAAGACCCCCCCCCAACATGTTTACCAGCATTTGCTGCAGCTAATGCCACCAGCACCTACAACCTTACAGAGTGAGAAGCTGCTTTCTGTGTCAACTTGTCAACATTTGCCTTTTTCAAAGCCACAAGCTCACACTCTCTGATCACAGCCACAATGATACAGATGGGTGACAATTAATGACCTTTGAAACCTTTACAAATGACCTATAGGTAATTTATTGTAGTACTGACATGATTTGTAAATTATTCCTCATTGATAATTCATAAAAGACACTAATATCGATTGTAAAAGTTTTGCAGCCTTTACAAATGTATGATGTACAATTTCAGTGTTCCTTATCAATTACAAATTGTCTGGAAATATATATATATATATATATATATATATAATAATTTATGAACTGATTACAAAGCTTTTTCCACACCTAAATCTAAAATTCTGCACCTCTAATAAATAATCTATACAGCTTAATCAAGTTCATGATATCATTTTAATTTCATTTTAAAGCCAAATTTAATTTCATTTAATTAACCTTATGAGGCAGCTGGATTTAACTGTTATTAACACTTATGGCTGAACCACAATGGTTCGGACCAATCAGCAGCTACAGTCTGAGATGACGACAGCGAGAAGCTCATTAACAACAACGGCAGCTCCGAAAGAGGTTAGTGTAGATGCTGCTGTAGCATCAGTTATATCAGAACTGGAGATTATTTCTTCAGTGGCAGAAGAGCAGAGAACAGCAGTGATGGCTTCTCCCGATGGAAAAGATGTTTTCGCTCTTTGGCACGAGTTTGATTTAAAACTGGTTCCGCTGGTCGTGAAAAAATGTAAAGGATGCAGAATCTGATTTGTTGAAGTTAGCCATAGACTGTAAATAAAGATCGACGTAGCCTCTGTGACGTCATCCATAGGTTTCTGAAGAGCGGGCTGCTTTACTGTCGCCATCTTGGCAGTACCTGACTCCGCCAAACTCCCGGCTAATCCGGAAATGGGGAAAGAGGAGGGGCGTGTGTGGAGCCGCCTTGTGGCAAGCATACGCTCCCCCACCTGTCACTCAAAGTGGCACGCCCTCCATTATGCAGAACTTTAAGACTTAATAAAGTTTAAACGGGTGAGCACAGTTGTCATGAAGGAGGAAATTAGCTCTAGAGAACAAAACCGTTTGTTGTACCAGGCTGTAAACATGTTTATTTCTGCTGTACAGTTGGATATTTTAACATGGGAGTCTGTGGGGATTGACTGACTGTTGGAGCCAGACTCTAGTGGCCATTAGAGGAACTGCAGTTTTTGGTACTTCCCTGTTTGGCTTCATTTTTCAGCCTCGGAGGTGGTCGCTTGAAGTTAACCCGAGATAGACAAATATTTTTTGAAAGCACCTTCCCTTTTCCAAAGATGGTTCCGTGTAACAAATACAGATTTGATAGGAATGGTCACTGGAGGGATTTGTCACATGAATGCACAGTTCACTCAGAAACAGCTGGAAGGATTCCACTTCGTAGAAACTCTGAATGACTTTTCCTTCAAATTCAAGTTAGTGCTGAAAATCACATCAGTTGGATTAAACTGAAACGTTCCCAGACGGGAGGAAGTTCAGCCATAAAAATGAAAACAAATGAGACGTGAATCATTGAGAAAAATCTGTTTTCTTTACCCATGAAAGAGTATTTTGCAAATACAGTGCGTAGGTGTTGTACTGTTAAGCACCGGGGTCTGAATCTGACCTCAGATTGAAATCAAATCAACAAGGGCCTCATTTGAAATGAAACCAAAGCATCTCTGAATGTGGCTGTATTTTTTTTTTTTTTGCAGACATCTCATTTGGCTCCTGGTATGAGCAGCGCAAAATGGAGCTGAGTTCACCTTGATGTGCATGAAGAGAGGCATGTCAGAGCACGGTGGTTGATGTGGTGGGGGGCTTGCAGCCTTTTCCCAGGGGCTGTCGGGCAGAGCAGACGAGAGGAGTGCAGGGAGCTGAGGCGGGCTGGTGGGTTCCGTGGCTTTGTGCCTCATTTGTTTTGGGGGGTTCAGGGGGTTGTTGTTCCCCTCATGATGATAGAAACCTGCCTTTCTAGGAACCTGAAACTCAGGGAAGGGGGGGGGGGGGCAGAGAGAAGCAAGTGTAGTTAAAAGTTCATTTTTATACTGTTTTCTACTTCTACAGATGTTCACTTCCTATGACTTCTTAAATCTTGCTATTTTATGGTAGTGAATGTGAGTTCCCCGAGGTGTTTAAAAGCCTTTTCATCGTTTCCTTTTTGATTTAAAATCTTAAAAATCTTTCAATATTTTAAGCTTAAATTAAAGCTGTTTCCAATAAATTTAACAGCATGTTAACATATAAGGTTTCACCTCTGAAACAAATTCTATTAACTTTTTATATCAGTGATAAAAACAGTAGTAACCTGATGCTTTTTAATAATCCGTGGATTTAGTTGATAATAGTCTAGACAGCTACAGGTCCATCTCTTTAAAGGGACACTCCACCAATTTTATACAATTAGAAAAAGTTATTGATGATATTGGGAGTGCTATTATTCAGCCTGTAAAAACAGTTGTACGATCTCTTCTTCGGCTCTCGCAGATCTTTCCAAAGTCCTCAGATAACCCTAATGATGTCATGGGTCAGGGTTTTCTCTATTTGTGCTTGGAGACAGCAGAAAGTGTCAGAGACTAGAGGCGCTGAGGTTGAAAAATGTGGGTGTTTACCAGGCAGCGAATCTAGTGAAAAGATGCTGTGGAGCGGCATTATGGGGAAGTGTAGGTAGAGTTTCTTTTTAAGCTTCACCCATACCAGGGGCTAAGTTATGATATCATTGATTTGTCCATTCTTTTTTAAAAACCTGTCTTGTATGTTGCCAAATTTATAGAAGTGAAATAATAAATCGCTGCCACACCCTTTTTCTCTGTTGAGCTGACAATTGATGATATTAATGCAGAACATAGCAAAGTAACACTTGATCTAAAGTGGCTATAACTGATATTTTTATAATAACTATGTGGAAGTGGTTGCTCATAGTCATGAACCCACAGAAAATAATCATTTCTACAGTTCCTCTTGTTTAGCCGTTTTGCATTTCTTGCCTGCAACATTATTGTTTTGTTTCACAGCAGTGTTAAAAAAAAAAAAACTAAAAATTATTCATACACTGTCCAGCACTCAAGTTAGCAACTACACTGTTGCTCATAAAGTTGGAATAAAATATTTTTATATTATATTATATTATATTTATTATTTTTATTTTATTATTTTACCTCTTTCCATGAAATGATTGTGACAATGTGATTTATTTCATTTCACCTGGGTAATTGGGACACATAATGTAATCATTGCACCTGGTCAAAAGTGACTACTGATGCATGTAAATAGGAATAAACAGAGGATTGTGTCTGAAAACAAAATTATTCCAACTTTATGGGCAACAGTGTATATGCTGAACATAATGCAGAGATGTTTCCCTCAGGAGATGACGGAGACCACAAACAGCACAAAAAGAGGTTGAACACTGGACTTCCATTCATCAGGTGGATGCAAACATCCCTACCCATGAATGATGATGTTGCTCCGTAACTGCTGCTGGTGCAAACAAGGAACTATTTGCTAGTAAGTTCGCCACATTAACTTAAATGGCAATGGCAATTTTATTTCTATAGAACATTTCATTACAAGTTAACACAATACGCTTTACAAATAAACTACACGGCAATAAAAACCTCAAAATATCAACACAACCAAATAGAAACCCCTGCTAACCCCGCTGCGGTACAGCCAGACGACCACTGCCTGATGACCTG